AATATTAGATTCAGATTCCTAGAAAATTTTTTGAAAATATAACTAATATTTTATATCTATGTAAAGAGAAAAGATAAAAAATATATCTATAAGAATCGCAAAATCAATTCAAAAATTTCTGAAGGGAAATCCCTTTAAATTTAGATGAAATTTATTTTGACTCGCCATTCAAAATCCGATAAAGACAGTCTAATGAGTAATGTTATGATTTTTTTTTAGCTTATAACTGTTTTTGGTTAGTGAGTGGCAAAACTGATTATAAATTTATTAAGGTTAAAGGAAACTTAAAATCTCCATTTCAAACTTGTCATATTTTTTTTAAATATTATTTAATTAATAATGATAAAAATCAATGTTTCAAAATAAAAATAGTCCCTATTAGCAATTATCGCGATATAGATCTCTCTATAATATCTTCGCCAAATAGTTTCGCTATATTTTATTCGCGATTTGGGTTTCACGATAATGAATTCGCTATAAAACTTTCGCAATAAATGTTTGGCCGTATGTATTCGCATTAAAGGTTTTGGGATATTGTTTTCGCGGAATAGTATTAGCTAATGTGGATTCACGATAAATGTTTCGCTATAAAATACATTTACGATAAAAGTTCAGGGAATATGTGATTCGCGATAAAAGTTTTGCTAAATTGACATGAAACTCATTTATGGCTGTATTTTATAAAATTTATTTTTTTCAAATTACAATTCAACATTATGAAAAACTGGTTAAGGGTACCTTTTCAGGGGCAATTATTTTTGTTATTTTTTAATGTTATTTTTTGTTATTTTTTTATGCGATTTTTTGTTATTTTTTTATGCGATTTTTTTTATGTAATTTTTTTATGCGATTTTTTTTATGTAATTTTTTTATGACTATTGTTTTTATGTTATTTTTTTATGATTGGTTCATTTTCTTATTGGTTAATTTTTTATTTAAGATATTTTTAAATTAATATATCTTTTTTTATTTAAGATATTTTAAAATAATTTTTTCTAAAATTTAAAATTCGTACAATTATTTAAAGGAAGTGATGGGGGCAAATAAGGGGGAAGGCTAGGGGTAAGGGGTAAAATTATTAGATTATGTACAATGCGGGTAGGTTTGGGGTTAAATTTTTGATAGATGAAACTTCGCTATTTAAAATTTATTTGGTTGATTCTTTCTATACAAACTTAATATGATTTCTTCTAAACAAACTTAATACGATTCCTTCTATACAAACTTAATATGATTCCCTCTATACAAACTTAATATGATTTCTTCTAAACAAACTTAATACGATTCCTTCTATATAAACTTAATATGATTCCCTCTATACAAACTTAATATGATTCCTTCTATACAAACTTAATATGATTCCTTCTATATAAACTTAATATGATTCCTTCTATACAAACTTAATATGATTCCTTCTATACAAACTTAATATGAATAATTTTTTCTAAAATTTGTATAAAGAATTTAATTTTTTTTAGTGATAACACTATAATTAAAGGAAGATTCCAAAAATAAATAAAATTTAAGCATAACAATCGAAATAATTTATTCATTAAATTGAAATATACTATTAAAATTTATACAATCATTAATAAAATGAATAAAAACATCAAAACGATTTAATAATCTATATTTTCGAAAATACCTATATTCAAGAAGATATTCATGAATATTATCCCGATCCCCATGTCTTTTATAATTTGCCTTTAGATCCCGCCACAGCCTCTCGACTTTTTGAGTGTGGATCGATCTGTCATTTGGATCAACAAAATTTTGCGAATGGTTGATCCGATAGTGGAAATAGTTTGAACTGTCTAGCCGATTATATCTAAGATAAATATATTTACATTTATCACCACTTTTGCTTTATTGAAAAAATAAATTCACATACCCTAACCACGAGTCAGTCATTATCGTGGAATCTTGCATAACATTATCTTTAACCACACGATAGGTGGTATCTTGATCTCTTGTTGTGGTTGCACTTAAAAATATCTCATTTGTTTCCCGACATATACCACCAATAACCCATATAGCCTCGGAAGTCAAATGCCGACCACGGTTATATTTACGCTTCCATACATGAGTTTCATCAATTTCAATAACGTGGCCAGGCCCCCCGATCTTTGAATGATTCGAGGCTATATGGAATCCACATACCTTTCGAAATTTTTAAACCTATATAAGTGAAGTAAAAAACCATATTATACTTTAGATTACCATCTTGAAATTGCCTTCTTATCATAATCTAACTCTTTCGAAGCAGTTAAAATTTTATAACGGCCTAAAAATAATTTTGTTTAATATTTTTTAAAGAATTGGTACTTATGTACAAGTACACTAGTCTTAAAAATTTCCCAACATCATGAATTCCTTCAAAAATGGAATCTAAAAATTCGTCATTTATGATATATATATATATTAATATTACCTTTCCATATTGAATAGGATCTACGACACCTACTGCATCGATATCGTAAACTCTTATTGTTTTTTTCAACCCGCATTACAGAATTGCAACAGGTATGTTGTATTCCAGGCGGTATTAATTGATTATTTAGACAAAAATCATAAGCTTTCTCATCATTTTGAGTATAAACACCAACTTCAAAAATATTCATTTTAAAAAAAATGGAAGGAATCATATAATATATATTGGAACTAAAAAAAAGGGAACCAAAAAAAGATTTATACCAAAAAAAAAATTAAAAATGGAAAGTTTCGTCTACCAAAAATCTTACCCCTAGCCTTCCCCCTTATTTGCCCCCATCACTTCCTTTAAATAATTGTACGAATTTTAAATTTTAGAAAAAATTATTTTAAAATATCTTAAATAAAAAAAGATATATTAATTTAAAAATATCTTAAATAAAAAATTAACCAATAAGAAAATGAACCAATCATAAAAAAATAACATAAAAACAATAGTTTTCATAAAAAAAAATTACATAAAAAAAATCGCATAAAAAAATAACAAAAAATCGCATAAAAAAATAATAAAAAATAACATTAAAAAATAACAAAAATAATTGCCCCTGAAAAGGTACCCTAACCGAAAAACTAATGAATGTTAAATGAGCTATTCTATATTTTTACCCCAACCATGAATGTTTTATTGGGTAATATAACAGAAATGTCCCGGACTTAAAGATCTAAGCTGTTAGAATTTGCTTTTTAAAATTTTATTTTCACATCTGTCGAAAATAAGATACTTTTAGACAAGAAATGGACTGGTCATTTAGAACCTCGTATCCTTTATAAGAATTTTGAGGCTATTTAAAGTATTATTTTATTTTCCTAAAAGAACTTTTTTTATTAATTTAAAATAACTAATTTAAAATCTTCGTACTCTAGTCGACGACTCAAGTTCATAGAACTATTCGTCCTATAGTCGCCTCAAATTTATAGACTTGAGTTCACGACTCGAGTTACTTGAGTTTAGGATAGTTTGCAACTCGAGTGAGTTTTTTGGCTCCAATTTTCGGCTAAGTCAACTCGACACAGTTGAATAACAACACTAACATCAGATAAAGGTTTGCTTACATAGACATTAAGTAATAAAATATCCCTAAAAAGTTCGCGTTTATGATGGAACTTTGGTAATAAATAAATTCGCAATGATAATGCACTCGCCATAATGACTTCTCGCAAATACATTCGGGGTAGAAAATTTGCTAAAGAGTTCGCGATAAAAGTTTAGCTAAAATGTATTCGCTCTAAAGTATTCGTGGTCATCGCGGAAACAAATTCGCGATATTGTCTTCGCTATAAATGTTTCACGGAAAAATTAACGGAATAGGTTTTGCGATAAACGACATTTGCGATAAAAGTTTCACAGAATTGACCTTATATGGATTTTCATATTCAACCACCTTTTTTAAACTTAACAGAAAGAAATAATATTTTCTACAGCTGTAAAAATAAATTTTAAAAGGCAAATTTTTAACAGAACAGATCCTTATCTCCAGGACATTTCTGTTCTTTACCCAATAAATTTTCATAGTTGGGGTAAAAATATACAAAAGCTCATTTAGCATTCATTATGCAAAATTATAATTTGAAAAAATACAGCCATAAATGATTTAAAATGACTACATTTAAGGAATCTATAAGTTCAACCAAAATATTTCCCCTTACGCAGATCTTCGAGAATAACATTTAAGTTATAAGAATTTTACGACTAACTGAATATCTTGTCCAATAAAAATATTATACAAGCCTGAAGATTTTGCTCAGAGATGGCTCAAAGATTTGGTTGGATACATGTATTAGCAAAATCTACGAGGTTTGGACAATATTTTCTAATAAATTGGCTTAATTTTTTTAAAAAATTATTAAAATTTGTTCCTATTTGGCTTAGTAGCGGGGTCCATATTAAAATTAGGAGTTTAAATTTTAATCCAACATCCAAGTAATAATATCTCATTCTTATTGTTTAATTTCGCTTTAAAATTTTAGCTCTAAAGTTTGACTAAAAAAAGATAGTTTAAATTTGTACTTTCTCACTCCTAAACATTTTTAAAAGATTAATTATAAAATTCTGACATAAATAACAAAAAAAAGAAATAATGCTTTTTAAAATTCCTTCTTTTATAAAAAAAAATACATATTCATAGATAGGATAAAAATTAGATATTTTATGCCTTTTTTTGATTTATTATTTTTATGAATTTGTATAAATGGCCTTAACAAGTTTATACCATAGAAAAATTTCCAAAATTTTGATATTATTGATATGAAAATAGAAATAGCCCATTTTGAAAATTTCCACGTGACATGATTTTTGATTTATTGTAGTTTGATTGATTCATAATTAAATAACTTATATTTATAAAATATAAAAATAATAATTATTTTGTTTTTTATTTCAAAAAATTAGCCATAAAAATAAATAAAAGAAGTATTAAATAGGGCCAAAATTTAATAAAATTATCATCAAATTTTATTTTTTCTTCTGACTAAGTTATTTTATTAATCAAAATAAAAAACTTCAATTCAAAATGAATTTTAGTCATCTTGATAGTTTCAAAGCTATTTTTACTCCTGAAGTAAATAAATTGAAGGAAATATTTGCAAGACATAAATATCCATTATGTCTAGCTGGAGGTCCTGTGAGAGATATCTTGTTAGGAGTTATGCCAGAAGATCTTGATTTCGCTACCTCTGCCACACCGGATCAGATGAAGAATATATTTGCCATGGAAAAGCTAGTGATATTGATAAATAAAAATGGGGAAAGGCATGGAACGATAACAGTCAGGATAAATGACAAGTAAATTTTATATTTATTTATTAAAAAAAATAACCTATTAATTTTAAAATGTAAAAAATAGGCAAAATTTTGAGATTACTACCTTACGTATAGACAAAACAATTGATGGAAGACAAGCAAATGTCGAATTCACAAACAATTGGGCTTTAGATGCCAGCAGGAGAGACCTCACTATAAACTCAATGTTTCTGGGTTTAATTATTAATTTTTAAGTAACTTGTATGTTATGTGTGATTGTATTTTAAAAAAATTAATTAATATTTGAAACCTATATCTTTTCATTTTAAAGAGCTGCAGGTGTAGAGTACATATTTAAATTTTTACCAATTTAAAAACATTTAAATTAAGATTTTGAAGGTACCTTGTACGATTATTGTGGTGGGAAGAAGGATTTAGACGAAAGGAGAATAGCATTTGTTGGAGATGCTCAGACTCGTATACAGGAGAACTACCTCAGGATCCTTAGGTACTTACGGTTTTACGGAAAAATTTCGGACAAGGAGAACAATCATGACCCTAAAATTGTTAAGGCAATTACTGAAAATGGGTCAGGCTTAGCTAATATAGCTGGAGAAAGAATATGGTCCGAACTGAAGAAAATATGTGCTGGCAATTACATTTACTCACTTCTCAAGCTAATCTTCGACACCGGAATGTCTAGGTACATTGGGTTGCCGGCTGTTGCCAGCGCTGAATCCCTACGAGAATTATACCGTGTTTGTGAGGCCACCAAGGGATTAAATCCCAATCCGATTACCATCTTAGCGACGGTGCTCACTAAACAAGACATAAACGTTCTTGACCAACGTCTCAAGCTTACCAACTCCGAACAGGCTATACTTAACTTCATAATTGAGGAAAGGAGAATTACCCAATCTAGAAGTACGAAATACTACATCGACTTGATGATGGCATCCCAACCGCCCAGTAAAACAAGGGAAAAAATTATCGAATATTTGAAATATAGCGGCAAAAAAGATGAACTGAAGGATTTCCTTACTGCGTCTGTCAAATATCAGTAGCTCATAATTTATAAATATGATTTCACTTCAATATGTATTTGAATATTTGTTTTTCAAATTTTTTTAATGAATAGAAAATTATTCTTATACAAAATATTAAATTTGCAAAAATGTGTTTTATACAAAGTTGTCTACAATTCTTTTTATAAGAATATAATTAATCTATGATTCAAAATAGTATTTTTATGAGGCTAAGAATAATCATGTAATTAAATAATTTTATATTTAAAAAATAATATTTAATTATTGATAGAATAATTACAATACTCACTTTAAGTTTGAAAATGAAAATGAAAAAATTTCAATTAAAAGTATAAATTTTTAGGCCCTTAAATTAGACATCTGCACGGCTTAAAACATTTAGGGGCGGGTCGTCATTTTTTAAATATAATATTACATTTTGTCAAATAAATTGGTATATTTTAAATTAAAATTCTTGCAAGAGATAAGGCAAGGCTCTAATATTTTTTATTTGTAGAATATTTATTTTATAATCAAAAAATAAAAATAATTAATCTTTTTATGTTTATATAAATTCAGCCCTGACTGACGAATAATTTTATTTCGAGTTAAGATTTTCAGGACAAGTAAAAAAAATTTATGTCGGCCTAGAAATTTAGGTATATATTATGTAATTTATTGGGAAAAGAAATTAATTTAAAACAGTAATTAAAGCTGAAAGGAAAAATTAACTTTCTTATTTGGTTTAGTAAAAATATATAAAAAATTATTTTAATTAAAAATTCTTGGCCCAATGTATGCTAAATTTTAAAAAATTGGTCAGAAGTTTCCTGGACCTATAAATCTCGGTGGTGAAATTCTTATTAATTTGCACGCTAACTTGCGGAGAAACTCCATAGAATTAAGATATATGCCAATAAACTGCAAGTAGCCAATGTAAAACAATGCCAATATTGCTCATTAATAATGAGCTAAATACAAAAACTAAAATAACTTAAAAAATAACAAATTAAATAAAATTATAATAATTAAATAGTATAGTAAACTTAGATCTTAACACCAGAACGTAAAAAAATAAAAGATCGCTTCCGACTGCTTCTCCAAAAAATAGATCCAGTCCCGGTCTAAGAGTTGATCTCTATTACTGAGAAGGAAGGCTATTTTTATTATATTTAATATTATCTGTAAAAATATATGTGTTAAAATTTCATTTCTATATAAGTTATTTTATACTTAGACTGCTTTTCATTTTTAACTATTTGATATATTATCTATCTAAATGATTTTTTTAAATCGGAAAAAAATAGTTTTTCTTCCAATGTAAAATACCAGAGTTGTTAAAGTATCTAGATATAAGAATGTGGTATCTAGATAGATTTTTGATTAAAGTTTCTGTATCTAGATATTATTTTAGAGGTATTTGTATGTGTTTTCAGATACTTTTTAAGATACATTCTGATATTCTATTTAACGCTTTTTTATATTATAATAAAAATACTTGAATGTAAAATTTATTTCATATAAGCATATAACTTAATATTAATATTTATAATAAAAAATTATATATATATATATGTAAAATATAAAAACTTATATATAAAAAAGAATATATAAATATTAATTAAATATTATGTCCGAGTTATCAATAACAAGCAAATTCTGATATTACAATCCCTCTCAAGGAATTTGTCATTTTTAATTGCAATTGAATTGGTATTTTATTTTATTTTATTATATTATATTAATTATTATATTAATTTTTAAGATTAATATTGATGACGAAAATGACGACATTCATCCCAGGGACCCGGAGTGAACCGTAAAGAACCATTAAACCATTATAAACAGTTATAAATATCTGAACCATAACCGTAACCGATATAATTATTTTTTGAAGGAGTAAAAAGAACCTTTATAAAAAACGGTCAAACCGGTTTGAACCGGTTCAGTTTTTATATTTTAGAAATGAAAATAATTTGAATATCCAGAATTATATAAACTTGCTCTTATAGTACTGGCGGTTCCCGCAATAGAAATTTCCGTAGAAAGGGCTATTTAGGGGCTAAATTTTGTATTATCGTCACAACGAACAAAAAGGAATCCATTTATATTAGAAAATATATTTACGTTCAAATAATATATTTAAAAATGAGTTATTTTGAATCTTATATATTTTTTTATATATAATTCATAGATGCTTATAATAAAAATAAATACGAAAATGATGTTGCTTCAATAAAAAAAAATTCTAACCGTAATGAACCATTATGAACCTTTATAATTAGCTGAACCGAATCGAACCTTTATAAGTTTCTTCTTAAGAACCGTAACCATTATATTTTTACATACTGAACCGTAACCAAACTGAACCGTTATAAATAACGGTTCGGGTCCCTGATTCTTCCTGGCCAATTTATAGACCATATTTTAAAATGATATCTCAAAATAAAGAATACAAATCTCTGTTAGTAAAATGTTTGCTATGTCTACCAAAAAATATGCAAATTTTAGTTAGCATTACCTCAACTTGCAACATTGTAAAAAATTTAAGGGTATAGAATAGATACTAAATAAATGTTTACATTTTTAAATTTAAGAGAAAACATCAAACACTCTTAATCCAAATAAAAAAGGGGAAGGAGAAAAAATCTATTAAAGAAAATATTGGACTAGGTTCATCGTCCATTGATTTTTTTTCCAAGAAACCTCAGATTTTAACCCAAACCACTTTAGATGATTTAATAACTGATTTTATTATAGATAGTATTCAGCCATTTTCAATTGTTGAAAATCCTTCATTTATAAAAATGATCAAAACATTAGCTCGACAAAAAAATATAATTTACCGACAGACAGTGGTTGTTACTGAAATCTAATAATTATTTATAATCATATATTATATTATTTTATTAATTATATATAATAATTATTAATATTAATCATATATTATATTAATATCTAAAATCATTATTTTACTTGTATTTTGATAAATGTGATATCGAGTCAATAAATTTTTTAGATCATTTCGTGAATTTTCACAATAGAATCCTAATTTAGGTTTATTCAAACCTTATCTAAGAGTGTAATAAAAAATGTATCTGTATATAGATACATTTTAAATTGTATCTTTTTTAAAAGCTGTATCTGTATCTATATCTAGATTCATTTTAAAGTATCTTTTAACAACTATGTAAAAAACTAGTTATTTTTCAAATAAAATACATTTTAAATATATTGCGCCATCTAGCGTATATATTTTTATTTATATTTATTTATATATATAAATATTAATGATAGATAAAATAATTTAAATATTTTGATATTTGTAATCTAGATTATAATAAATACTTATGCAAAATTTTATAAATTTTATTCCACCAATAAATATAATACTTAAACTTTGTTTTACCATTTATAATTTACAACTAAAATCTAATTGAGAAAATCATCCTTATAAATATCGTTACAAATTCATGATATTTTTTACAGACTTTTAAAAAACAAAAAGATTTTTTTAATAGGGTTGCCTTGTGCGACCTACACTATATTAAAATATAATTTAGACTTGAAATCTCCAAATCACATCCCGAGTCTGGGGCCTGTTTCCGACTTGATCGGGTTGGAACAGGATCGTGCTATTACATTTTGTCAAATAAATTGTTTAAAATTCTGGCAAGAAACAAATAAATTCGCACCAGGCGGACTTATAATTTTTATTTCAGTTCTAGCTTTTCTGGAAAAATATAAACAACTTTGTTCGGGCTAGCTAGGGCAAATTTTTTTGAAAAAATTCGGGCCATGCCTGGCTTTAAAAATTAGGCCCGATGTAGATCATAATTTAGACTACTAGTTGAAAAAAAATTAAACGAATGACGTTTCTTTTCTTCAAAATAAAGTAACGGTATTACTTTACAGCAGTATTTAAAATAAAAATTACTTAATATTTGAAACCACCTTTATTATATAATTTTAAAGACAGCATTACAGTATATATTCAAATTTTATAAATGAAAAAAACAATAATTCAGATTTTGAAGGTACCTTATACGATTATTATGGAGGCAAAAAAGATTTAGGTGAAAAGAGAATAATGCTTGCTGAAGATGCTCAGACTCGTAATTCACTACTAATATTTTGTATTTTAATATATTTTATTATTATTTTTTCTATAGATGGGCTTTATTTTTAAAGAAATTTATATTTTATGGTCGAAAAAAATATTATTATATTTATTTTAAACTTTAAGAATATAGGACATAAAGTATGATAGTCTAAATTATATTATAGTATAGTGTAGGTTGCAAAAGCAACCCTATTCAAAAATCTATGTTTTTTTATTTTTTTTGTTGTGTTGGTTAATTTAAAATGTATGTAATTTATATTGATTATATATAGACAGTATTTTCTTTTAGTTTTAACTTACAAATGATATAATAATAAATATTAAATTTATTCTAAAAGAAATATATGTATAATTTAGAATTTCATAAATATTCATTAATTAATCTTGATATTAAATATCAAAATATTTAAATATTTTATTATTTATTATATTTATAAAATTACATAATTAAATATATATCCGTTAGAGGGCATAATATCTATAAAATGTATTGTGTTTGTTTTATATATAAAATTATTTTACCAGCATTTTTGAAACACTTGAATAATAATAATTATTTTTTTATCCATTTTAAAAGATTCATTTAGATATTATATAAAGTAATTAAAAATAATATATAAACTAAATATAAAATGACATATATAAAAATAAAATTAAAAAAATAACATTAAATCAAATAAAAATAGTCATCTTCCTCTGTAATGTCGATCTTAGGCCGGGGCAAAGCCTAACTTTTTTAAGGACCACAGTCCAGACGTGTTTTACTATTAATATTTTTTTTCCGGTAATGGGTTACTTTATTTGAATATTTACTTTTTTTGTATATTTTATTATGTTATTTTTCTAGAGGAGTTATTTTTAGTTTTTATGAATTTGTCTCAATAAACAAGAATTAAATTAGGTAAAAACAGAAATA